GGAGTTTATAGAATGTGAAAGGATGACTCGCGGCTATTTCCCGCGTCTATTTTTAGCGCCTATCGCGTCATATTTTATATGCACGTTATGTTGAACTGTATGCTGAAATGAACATTTGTGTTACTGTATACAGATAGATCTTGATATTTATTTGTTTATTTCAGATAAAACCACACCTGTTACCACATCTGTTCATTTGAGAACTGTGAAATACTAGAGGATGTAAAGTGCCACATTCTGAAGAGATAAAACATAATAATCATCATCTGTCTCCTGTCACGCTTCTTACTGGGGCTCCGTAGTGGACTAGCAGTCCACCTAGAGAAAAGAACATTACAATCCTTTACAACTTTTGTTTTGTTTTGTTCTTTGTCCTATGTAGTGCTGTCTTTTCCTTGCTGTATCACAATGACATGATCTGGCAACAAATTACAGTACAAACAGCAAAGAAATAAATAAATTAGCCACAGTTTACATCAGAACATCCCTCCAGAGTACACTGTTATACTGACAACATGACTAGGCCCACACATAAAATACGTGCGCAGAATTCCACAGATTTTTAGCCCATCATTGATTCTGTTTATTTACTTATGTAAATGTTTGTAAATCTATATTTATTCAGTTTTTAATTATTTACAATAATATTATTGACTAATACGAAAATATTCATATGAATTATTCACAATACAGTTTGTACAGTAATATTTTCTGTCTTTTAGTAGATATATTATATGAGAGACTTGCTTTCTTTACCAAATAAAGATGATCTAATTGGATTTGCATTGTAAACACTAAATACAAGTTTAAAAGGTATTACTTTTTAATTAACATAATAAGGTTTTAGTTATGATACTCCCAAAATAATTCTGCATAAATCCGCAGATTTTTAACGCAATTCTGTGCAGAAACAGCAAAAAATGTCCACAGATTCAGTCCTTCATTAAACATGACGGACTGTCTTATCCGTACACAATGACACATTGAGAAATGAACTAAAGATTTTAAGCAAGAGACTGGCTTTTGCAGGTAATCCATGCTGTTTTGCTATTTGTATGTGCTGTTTTGACAAATGCACTTATTGTTTTGTAAATTTCAAATCTGAGAAATGTATCAAAGCGACTGAAGAAAAAAAAAAAGTATTTAATTTTATTAACATTCAATTTAATATTAACCTCACCTCAATGAGCCAGGTGGACACCATGTTTTCAGCACAAGTCTACTGGTTATTTTTGGAGATCATCCTCAATGTTTAGTTGTGACCTGTATTTATTTTCAATGTATTCGATTAGCATAAAGGAGTCAGAAAGTTTAACCTGGTGCATTAAAATCAGTCTGTGTTGTAATCTAACGTACTAATCTAATACACCATAATTTGAAAAAAAAAAATTAAAGGCTGAGGTCTTTTTATTTGCATGTTGTTGCTTTTTATGCAACTATTAACTACTATTTTTTATTTACTGTGGGTTATAGATAAAATATTAAGTAATTAATACTTAATTAAAGATTTAAATACTGCATTTTAGTGATTTTTTTTTTGCTGGATTAACTAGTCAAATGTCATCATAACCACACTTGTGTACTAAATGTACTTGAAATAATTCCTAAAAATTGAATAAAAAAATTTAAACAAGACTAATTTTTAAAACACAAATTTATGACATCATATATTCATTCATTCATTTTCTTGTCGGCTTAGTCCCTTTATTATTCCAGGGTCGCCACAGCGGAATGAACCGCCAACTTATCCAACAAGTTTTTACGCAGCGGATGCCCTTCCAGCCACAACCCATCTCTGGGAAACATCCACACAAATATTCACACACACACACACACACACATACACTACGAACAATTTTAGCCTACCCAATTCACCTGTACCGCATGTCTTTGGACTGTGGGGGAAACCGGAGCACCCGGAGGAAACCCACGTGAAGGCAGGGAGAACACGCAAACTCCACACAGAAACGCCAACTGAGCCGAGGTTCGAACCAGCTACCCAGCGACCTTCTTGCTGTGAAGCGACAGCACTACCTACTGCTCCACTGCCTCCCCCTGACATCATATATCATTAGGAAAAAATATTTGTTAAAGTTTTAAAGTAAAAAACTGTAGCCCACTATCATTTATTAGACAAATAGTAATTATAATAATAATAATAAAAACAATTATAATGAATTCTTCAGAATTTCTCTTTGGTTAAAAAAAAAAGTACATTTGAAACTTCCTGAATATCAACAACAACCAATATATATTCAAATTAATTTAATATGGTCAGCTTCTGGTGCTTCACACCTTTTTATTGCTCATTTTTATTTCGGAAATAAGATTCAAGATTTAGAATTGAGTTTCCTGTAAAATGTTTTCTCTGTTTAAAAACAATACAGTAGTTAAAGAAGACTTCTCTTACATCAGATTATGGTCCCACCGAAGCAACAGTCGACAGAGGATTCCGTCTGGTCTTAAAGCCTTTTTCAACGGATTATTTGCATTACTTATGCTGGCATAGCAGTCAAAATAAGACAAGTGAGCTCATGTATGGGACAAATTCTGGTTTCATCCGGAATGCACCCAAGATCACCTTCTGAAGTGGTTTGAGCCAGGGCCGGAGTGGGACTCCTTTTCAGCCCTGGAGTTTCAAGCATTAGACCGGCCCACCTCAGTTCACGACTGGACTGACTATATTAAAATAAGGTCATTTCCAATTCAGTTTCTAATTACACTATCACGTCTTTTTCAAGAAAACAGCTGCTTTAGAACTTCAAATGTTTAACAACCTTACAGTTTTATATGTCTTAACAATAAAAATGAAAAAAAAAAAAAATTACTCAGGTAATGCCTAGTTCAGACTGCGTGATTTTAGCCCCGATTTTGGCTCGCCGACAGGTTTTGAGAAATCGCCGACAAATGCCTGAAATCACAAGCAAATCGCTGCTCGTGCACATGAGTGACAATCACACAGTATGAACAATCAAAGACGCGATCTGAGAGAATCGCCGATGAGTTGCCGATGCCTGTGAGATATTTGGCGTGCTGAATATCTGGAGCTGTCGGCGATTCAAATCATGCCGTGTGAATTGAGTTTTGACTGAAAATAACATCAGCGATCGCCTACAGCCAATGAGAGAGCAGCTTTCACTTGTGTGTGTGTGTGTATACCTGCTGCAGGACAGCAGGATGCTGGGGGAGAAGTTAAAAGCGCTCTTTTTCGGTTTATTTGGACCCACGAAATGGAGGAAAAACTAGTGGAGGTTTGACAGGACTCAGGAGCAACTGTGTCTGTTTGACGTTTCATACAGAAAGAAATTAGTTTATTATCAACTTAAGTTGAGGAGAAATGGCTAATTCCCTTTAAACCCAGGTGAGCAAACATGTACATGTTCAACCCCATTAAAGGCTTCTTTCTCATTATGTAGTTAATAACAAAAGATATACTACGTGTTTTTGGCTGTGAGACGTAGTTTGGACGAAGTTGTCGGCGATTCTCCCTATAGTAAAGTCATGCAATGTGAATGTCCATGTCGCCGATCCATCTTGCAGTGTGAACTAAGCAGCGACGAAACGCTAGCCCAGAGAGTCATGCAGTGTGAAAACATCTGTGACACGACTACTTTGAAAATCATGCAGTCTGAACTCGGCATAAGGATCGTACACGGATCGTCGACGTCGTCACACAATGTGCTGACCACTGGACCACGATGGCGCTGTTACGCTTGTGAGGCCGGAATGATATACATCATCATTACCCTGCAGGCTGCATTTTGATCATGGGGCTGCGAGACAATAAATAAGAAGAGCAGAGCTGCGGCAAAATAATGAATAAAAAGAGTGAGGCTATGGTCAAATAAATAAATAAATGAAAAAAAAAGTGTGACCGCTGTGAGTGCAAGCAGCTAGAAATACCGGCCCTCCGTGACTCTCCCGGTCCTCCCGGATGGCCAACCCGGGCCTGGTTTGAGCGATCGGGTATTTGATCATAATTAAACAAATGAAGTGAGCAAACAGCCTCATAAACACAGACGTGACAGGATTAAGTTAGCTCCTTTTGCTGTGAAGTGACATCTGACGGTTGAGGACTCCGCTTGCAATTAAAGCCTTGGTCGGACAGTTACTTAAAAAAAAAAAAAAAAAAAAGTCAAAAATAGGGAATGGCAGGTCATGTACTGGACAAGTCAATAAACACACAGGACGTCCCGGCTAATGCGAACAGTTAGCAGAGAACCTCATGGATAAGGACAGATTTTTATCTGTTATGAAGTACGTATCTTCAGCCTTACCCTGTTCGGCAGTCTTTTTGAACATTTGTTCAAAAGATTCAAATATGTGACCACTCAGAGGATTATGTCACATGACTCGCGGCTTTAAGGCTCCATGGGCCATAGTTATTTAAAATTACACTTTATTACAATATATATTCAATATAAATATAATTATGTGAATTATATATTAAATATATTATATAATATTAAATTACATAAATCAATTAAAAGCACAAATTCTGGACCTTTTGGCCGTATATTTATTTATTTATTTTGCATATTTATTATATATTTTTGGTTTTATTTATGCAGAAAATTGTGGATTAATTAATTTGCATATTTATTTATTTAAAATTTTGCTGGTTTCATCCTCCATATGAAGCATATGTTTTGTTTGATTTTGGATTAAAAAAAATTTTTTTACACTCAAACTGAGATAAAAAAACGAGTCCTTAGTAGGCTACTCTGATAAAACAGTTTTTTATTTTAGATGGAGTGAGGTTGTTTACCGAATTCTTTTTCAGCAGGTGATTTTTATGAATGTAAAGGTTAAGACTTTTTTTAACACACATAATACCTCGATATGTTCTCTAAAAGTACATTTATAAAAAAAATATTTGTTTTATTTTCAACACTTTCATTATGAGTGCAAATGTCTAAATATTGTTTTTGAGCAAATAGCAATGAGCAGCAATGCAAATGGTAAAGAAAATACTTTCATAAACCCACAGAAACCATGAGTATCGGTAATACTGGACACTTTTACTTGTGGAAATAAGAAACCAATATAGAATCCATCTCTGAGATATGTATTGCAATAAGGCAATGCAGATGAAGATATTTAGGATTCTGTGTTGACAACAGCACATTAAGAAACAAACAAAAATATAACTGCTATACAAATGCAGAAAATAATATAAATGTTTTATTATCATTCAATCAATATTTATGAGGCTAACTATATTTTGTGAAAAAAGGCATGCATTCATTTGTCAGTTTTTGGTCAATCTGGCACAGGTAGTGTGTACAAAAAAACCCATCCTCTTCCAGTATCTACTTGTATAAGTGTAAACCTGAACTTTTACAGTCTGTAAAACCATACTACCGCCTTTTATAAAGACTTAGAACAAAGTAAAAAGAATGTTACATATAAAAGTGACTTATCAGCACAGTAAATATATGCAGATTTGACTGCAAAACCATAGTCACATGTATACTTTTCTCTCAGTTACACAAAGTTTTTAGAGTGTACTCACAAATCAAGAAAGGAAGACTGCATTTAATCTCAAAATTTGTCCACATATCGTCTTTTCATAAAATGCTCTGGCTAAATTCAGATCTGTAACACTACGAAACAGGTCAATTCCATCACTTTAAAGACTCTTAAATGACATGATTTTGGTTAAAGTACTCTCTCATTCTGAATGTCGCTGAAAAGCAAACAAAACATGGTCAATTATAAGTTATAACAACTAAACATGTTGCAAAAGCACCACATTTGACATATGTCTGCAAAAACACCTTAAACAGCCAATTTACCTAAATTTTTCTCTCTCCTTACAAGCGTCAACTGAGAAAAATAATATATAACATTAATATAAAAATGCTATAAAATATAATAGTGCATATGAATTGAATGGAGCAAGAGTAATAATAGTTGAATCCACACATACACATTCTCATGAAACTACAGTGCTGACCATCACTACAGCTTTTTCAGGAATCTCATCAGCAAATCCCAGGATGCTCAACTTTGGCCCCTCATGGTCTCATCAAAGTGCCTCTTTCCGTCCAGGTAAAGCATTGATTCTGTAAATGAAAACAATGTTAAGTTAGAGATTGTAATGTGCACAGTGCAACTAGATTTGGTTGCCAGTTCACCTGTTGGTGCATAATCATGTTATTTACACTTATGTCAATACGTTACAAGTTTTTTTTTTTTACTAAATGTAGGTAGTGGCAACCACATTTACAGACATATTTTGCATTGTGTACAAAACCAAAGTAAACAACTAGTGGAAATGTTAAAGACTTGTTAAAGAAGGATTGATCTCTTATGCATGCACAGTACAAGAAATCAAAGGGAATGAAGTTTTGTCTCTAGTGTTGCCAGGTTGCCACAAAATAGCAACAAAAAAAAAAAAGAGCAAACTGAAAATTCTCATCATTTACTCATCCTACACTTGTTTCAAACAGTTTATTTCTGTTGACCATAAAAGTAGATATTTTGAAGAAAGCTGGAAATGTGTAACCACTGACTTCCATTGTATTCAAGTCAAGTTTTATTTGTCACATACATAGTTATACAAAGTATGACCAGCAGTGAAATGTAGGTCAGGTCCGCTCCAGAGAGAGCAAGTATAGATAAACAAAAATTTAAATATTAAGGAAAAGGAAGAAAAAGAAAAAAACGTGCAAAAAAAAGATGTGCAAAAAATTATACAAGGTAATAAGAATAGCAGCAATATGATGTACTTATGAATATGACTACTACAATGATAAATATGAAAAAATCACGTAATGTGTAACACCCGGTTAGAATTTAGTAGCCTGATGGCCTGGGGAAAGAAACTCCTCCTAAGTCTCTCAGTTTTTGCCATCAAGCCACGAAATCGTTTTCTAGATGGAAGCAAAGTGAATAGATAATTGTCAGGATGGTTTAAGTCCTTACAGATTTTAACAGCTCTGTTCTTACAGCGTTTAATATAGATGTCCTGCAAGGAGGGGAAAGCAGACCCTGAGATGCGCTCAGCTAAACGCACAACTCTTTGAAGTGCTTTGCGGTCTTGGTTTGAGCTGTTTCCATACCACACCGAGATACCTTCATTTTTCCTACTATGGAAGTTGATGGTTTTCAGCTTTCTCCAAAATGTCTTCTTTTGTGTTCAGCAGAATAAAGAAACTCATAAAGGTTAGGAGCCCATTGAGGGTGAGTAATAATTATGACAGAACTAAAAAATTTAGGTGAACTACCCTTTTAAAGTCAAAAGCTGTACATTAGAAATAAATAAGTCACACTGTAAAATTAAAAACAAAAAAGTCTCTTTTACTAGTCTAAATTGCCATCTATATTGAGTATTTAGTCACTGTAATGTTAATTTTGCGCCAACATAGTGGATACCAAATACTAAATAAAACAGGAAGTTCTTTGGTTACAGTGATTACAGAGTATCTATTCCATTAACTACTGAGCAATATTGGTTATTGTATGTACTTTAGGTTTAGGGTTAATTGAGTGTAATTATGCATAACTAATGGTAATTACTATCGTGAGAACATAGAACATGTAATAGACACAAAATTAAGTGCTACCCTATAGTTCTATATTGATAAATTAATCAATAACTCCCTGAATGTAATGTAATGTGTATTTATATAGTGTATTTATCATGTACGGTCATACACCCAAAAGTGCTTCACAATCATGAGAGGGGTCTCTCCACACCACCAGTGTGCGGTATCCACTTGGATTATGTTACGGCAGCCACAGGAAAACATCACCTTTGTGCTCACCACACACCAGCTATTGGTGGAGTGGAGTCACAGTGATTGAGCCAATTCGGTGGATGGGGATGATTGGGAGGCCATGACAGTAAGGGTTGATGGAGGGAATTTGGCCAGGACACCGGGGTTACACCTCTACTCTTGACGAGAAGTGCCACAGGATTTTTTTTAATGACCACAGATACTCATCCGAAAGATGGTGCTCACTGACAGTATAGTGTCCCCTTCACTATACTGGGGCATTAGGACTCACACAGAACGCAGGTTAAGTGCCCCCTGCTGGCCTCACCTACACCACCTCCAACAGTAACCTGGTTATCCCATGTGATCTCCCATCCAGATACTGACCAGCCTCAGCCTTGCTTAGCTTCAGTGAGTAACTGGTCGTGGGTTGCAGGGCGATATGGCTGTGGCAAATTAAATGGATAGTTCGCCCAAAAAAAAAAAAAAAATGTCTCATTATTTACTGACACTTCTCTCGTTACAAACATGTTTGACTTTAAACACTTAAACATAGTTAAACACTAAAAACTGAACTACCCTGATCCAGTTACTATGACCATTAATGTGAAGCTGCTTTGACACAATCAACATTGTAAAAGCGCTATACAAATAAAGCTGAATTGAATTGAATTGAATACTTTTGTTGAACATAAAAGAAGATATTCCTAAGAAAGCTGGAAACCTATAACTATTGACTTCCACAGTATTTGTTATTCTTACTATGAAAGTCAATGGTCACAGGTTTTCAGATTTCTTCAAACTATCTTCTTTTGAGTTCAACAAAATAAAAGGAAGTTATAAAGGTTTGGAAACACTTGAGGGTAAATAGTGAGTACATTTTCATTTTTGGGTGACCTAAACTATCCCTTACTATATTTTATAACTATATTTTAAACTATACTAACTTATAAACTATATTTTACACATGTTGCCAATATGGAAATATGTGTAAAACAAAAGGCACTATATAATCATTAAAATATAAAAGTCTGACCTCCGTAGCTCTGTGGCACAACAGCTGGAACATCTTTATCAACCCGAAAAGTGAAGTGAAACACATTGGTGGTGCTGTGCTGTCGGGTCAGTGGGTCGAGCACCTCTGTGTGAACGCGAACCTGGACGTGCATTCCTTCTGTGTAACAAACCTGACAGTACAGAGTTATCAACAATATTATTCTGAAGGACAGATGGAAATATTTGTACAAAAGTTAATTATTAAGAAGTCTGAAACCTGTGAGGACAGCAACAGCAAAGAGCCGATTTCTACTGGCCTCCTGAATAAGATATCATCTACAGCCACCAGCGTAGGTCTACATCCACTGGAAGACACAAATACAGTCATGTGGAGAAATCAAGACTTCTTTACAGTAAATATTCAAAAGACCGTAACAGAAATCTCTTACGCAAATGCACAAGCATTGGCCCAACCAAGCTCATAAGCCTTTCTCATCAGAAAACCACCAAATATCCGGTTAAAGATATTTCTTTCCTGTTTAAATGGAAAAAAAGCAAATAAAAATAAGAAGAAAAATAATAGTTAACAGTGTCAATGAGTATCGAACAGTTCCATTGAGAATGGGATGTGTTCACACATGTTCTTTACTTTTCTTGGTTCGTTTTGTTTACTAACTAACTAGCCAACTAATACATTTAGTTCTGGTTCACTTCAGATTCAGACTGTTATTTTGAAGATGAAATAATATTGGTACTGTTTGGTCTCCAAGATAAATCTACAATTTGTTTGGAAAAAAATTAAAACTTAATTTGTTTTGAATAACAACACACATTACAGTGGGGGAAAATAAGTATTCAACATTTCATGTTTTTTTTCTGGGAATAATATTTCTATAGAATAGAAATATAGGCTGTTGACATTTGACATTGAATCAGATTTGGGTAAAAACCAAAACAATGCTAAGAACAAAATAAAATAAAACAAAAAATCTGAAAAAATAGCTGTGGAATAACAATGAAATGACACAAGAGAAAGTACTGAACTACTGAAATGCATTTAATACTTTATATAAAAGCCTTTTGGTGATGGCAGTTGGATTCAAGTCAGGTGATTGGCTAAGTGATTCTACAGCTTGATTTTCTTTCCCTGAAACTATTTGCTCGTTTCCTTGGCTGTGTTTTGGGTCATTGTTTTGCTGAAATGTCCACTTTGGTTTCACCATCATCCTGATGATATAGATCATGTAGATCATCATTTACAATGATGAAGGGTTGAGGGTTGCTGAATAAATTCTGAGAGATTTCAGCTGCTGTCTGGGTTGACTGCCTTTCTACACCTCTCTTTCTTCATGTGTCCAATACTTTTTCCCAGTTCCATTTCATTTTATTACACATACGGAAATTTGTAAATTAATTCGTTTTGTTTTCTTTGCATATGTGGATTTCTATAGTTGTTACCAGCATATGGTGAAAATTCAAGTCAACAGCACCTTTAGAAATATGCTTTCTGAGAAAAATGGTGACGGGTTCCTACTTATTTTCCCTGCTGTATATCAAGTTATTGTTAAAAGAAATGTTTGCATTGGTATTTAGGAGACATTTTTCTTGAAAATATTAACTTGAAAACTTTGTTCTGGTCAACTGTTACACTGATCATGAAATATAATAAAAATGTTTCAATCAATCATAAAAAGCATGCGATTTCACATCCTGTGGCAGAAAATTGAGGTACGCCCTTATTCCTCTCTCATTAATTTATTAAAAATGTTTAGGATACACCAATGGTAGATTTATAAGTAGTCAACTCTGTTATTGTGATACATCACTGAATTTTTCATTCACTTTTTAAAAACACTAATAATATGATGAAATGGACTATAAGCAGCTAGTGTTTATCAGCCAATGATGAACTTCTGGTGAAAGGTTTATATGACTATTTTCAATTTCATAATGTTCCTAACAGCATTGATGTTGTAATGCAATTCAAATATAATCAGTTAAATAGACTTAAACATTCAGTTGGCTGTTAAAGCATAAAAAGAGATGAAAGACCATTTAAACGCAGGTGGCGTCATTAGCAGCAGGTTAGAGCATTGAAAATACTGGGGTAAAATGAATTTCCATATTTTCAAGACATGGTGCGGAAAAATTATTGCAATGCTCCTTGTTTGGTCTGATAACCACTTTATATTGTATCTCAGCCAGGCAGTGAAGATCACTGTTTTCATTTAAAGAAACGCCGTGATTTTGTATGGGATGACAATTAACCAGAATCCCTGGGGCTGGTGGACTGAAATTAAAAGTCTGTGTGCATATACAGTATACAGTACCCCATTGCACTAAATTCAGCTGTAGACATGCCATTTGGTATCTCGGTTGAAGTTAGCATGTTGAGGGTAAAGTCTAGATAGGATACAGCTGCAGACACACGCAATAATATACAGTAGCATCATTTATGTAACACTGTATAACAATAATTAATATTTTTGCAGTACTGTGGGGGTTGGGTTTAGGGTTGGGATGGGGGTAGGTGTAAATAAAATACAATTTATTGGGTAATTTAATAAATAACATGAATAATACTCAGTGCAACTACTGTTTTTACATTATTGTGACGGTTGTGGTAGAAGTAGATGTTAATAAGTTACAATTAATGAGAAATGTAATAAATAATATAAATAATTATCCTTAACTATGCCGCAACCAAATCTGATCTAGCAACAACCCATGTTGAACTAAAGCGTGTTAGAGGTTCTCAAAGTTAAGCGACAATTTAAATGACAGTTTGTAACAATCAACATTAATGTTAGTAATGGATTTAATTAACTTTAACACAAAGGTTATATATCATTCCAGCTTTAGGAAAAACAATGGGAAATGCCTAAAAAGTACCCACAATTCTAGCATGAGTCACATATTGAAAAGGAACTACAGAACATCTAAACATTGCTGTGTGCTGTATTAAGTGAAGTTTTACAAACTAATTTCGAGAGGAACGCGTGATATGATTGACTGCAGCTGGACCCTATCGTTTATTGTTAGCTAGCCAATCGGATTATCCTAAATTTAGCATAAATATCCAGCCTAACTTTATTCCCTATTTTCATTTTGGAAGACATTTGGTTGGCGGACATTTCCTATAAAGCCATCTTATTATTCAAGCTATAGGCCAAATGAATTGGGGGGAGCTCTCGAGAACTACCTGATCTCGTATCCCTCTTACAGCTCATCGACCAGGCGGAAACGTTGGGCTCGTCTATGTTCGAGTTCAGGGTTTTCTCCCGAGACAGCATGCCAAACCTGCTAAAATCATCAAGCATTATCTAAGTGTTCATTCATTTTCTTGTTGGCGTAGCCCCTTTATTAATCCGGGGTCACCACAGCAGAATGAACCGCCAACTTATCCAGCACATTTTTATGCAGCGGATGCCCTTCCAGCCGCAACCCATTTCTGGGAAACATCCACACACACATTCACAAACAAACTCATACACTACGGACAATTTAGCCTACCCAATTCACCTGTACCGCATGTCTTTGGACTGTGGGGAAAACCGGAGCACCTGGAGAAAACCCACGCGAAACTCTACACAGAAACGCCAACTGAGCCGAGCATGAACCAGCGACCTTCTTGCTGTGAGGCGGCAACACTACTTACTGCGCCACTGCATCGCCATTTTCTAAGTGTGAAATCTTGAAATGTGCTCAGCAGTCTCGATTTTTCAGAGGTCTCATCAACCTTGTTTTCAATCTTCAAATAGCAGCTTTCAATGGAGTTTGTTTAACTCTAACCAAGTATAAACACACTCTATAAAATCTTACCTGTGGATGGCAAATCTCAAGCCCTTTCATTTTGGCATCTTCCATCCACACTGAATTTGGTGGTAAAATCCGACTGCGAAAGCTGACAGTCCTATCAGGTAAAAATAACTATTTTTAAAAAAAAGACTCTTAAAAATGGAATTTCTATCTGTGTAATGCAGATAAACTCACCGTGTGTCAAGAGTGTTGAGGAACTGGTTGTGAATGAGTGTCCTCTCCTCCGCTGTAGGAGCCACTTTCAGAAGAGACGCCGTGCTCAGCTCCACACGTCTCTTCTTGTTTACTGACAAATGTAAAGACCACTAGTATTACTTTAAATGCTTCAAATGAAAGTGACTTCAAACAAACCAAATTGCTGCTCACTTTCCCCCTGCTGAAAGATGGCCTCTTCTTCTGGTCCTTCTGGTTTCAAAGGGTTTATAAAAGCTGCCCTGGATAAACAGTAGACGCTCCTTGCATTCGTTTACATACACAAATCATACACATATTGATCATATCAACAGGCTTTACCTTTTGTTTTCAGGATCTCGAGCCACCATTACAAACGTAGCATCTAATACATCAGAGTACACCCCATCATGAAACTGTGGCAAAAAAGTTTGTTTAAATTTTTATGATCAATATATAACATTTATGCTTTAGGAAAAAGACTAAATACCTGAGACATGTGCATTTTGGCCTCTATTGAGGTTTTGCCAACCCATGTCACATGACCTGTGAACTTGATGTCACAGTCTGGGTAGATGATGTTTTTTCGCATGTCTGTAAAACAACAAAAATTAAATGAACATACTTTATCATTTGTGGGAATTTATAAATTATAACTATTCTATACAAGAGGCAATACCGATCTTGTCCACTAGGGCGGTGACAATAGACAGTGGAGATCTTTGCAGCTCCTTATTCCACGTGTGAGAGTAACAGATGAGCACTAAAGAGACAAACATGAATCATCTGTTATACTAATAACTAGGACCAGACAGAATCTGTGAACATTTTTTGCTATTTCAGCGCAGAATTTTGTAAACAATCTGTCTATTTATGCTGAATTATTTTGGGAGTGTTGTAACTAAAAACTTAATAGATTGATATAAAAATAATACCTTTTTAACATGTATTTAATGTTTACAATGCAAATCCAATTAGATTTACTTATTTAGTAAACAAGGCAAGTCTCTCCTATATCTACTAAAGACAGAAAATATTATTTTACAAACGTTATTGTAAATAAATTAACAATTTCATATTCGTCAATAGGATTTACTGAAGGTAATGTAAAAACTGGATAAATATAAATTTACACACATTTACAAAAGTAAATAAATGGACTCAGTGATGGGCTAAAAATCTGTGAATTCTATGTGGGCCTACTCATAACAGCCAACAATCCTGTTTTTGCTAGGAGTCTCCCATATTTCACACTCATCTCCCGCAACCCTCCTATTTTGTTATTTCTCTCTTGAAAATTTGCATAATTTGTATGGGTCATCTGGTTATAAAGAAACACTTTCTGTCCATGTTCATCAAGTTGCCAGAATCTTGTATGAAGCTCATCACCTCAGACAACTGACGAAATATTAAAATCTCCTCAATCTGGCAACATGCATTACAACACAGTTGTGCTGTTGATTTCTACACAGGTGGTGGAAGCAAGATTTGAAAGGCTGCGTTAGTAACGTCAGTAGTAGCAGACAACACCATGGTCACCAGGGTGTCCACCCCCTCATTTGTTGCCAGCCATGGTTGTACTGATACTGTCAACTGTACACAATAAAAAAATCCTATATTTTTTGTGTTACCTGCTAAACTGTCCAAATCCTCCAATATTCTTCCAAATCTGTTGAGAAAAACGTATAAGCAAAAGCTTATGTATTCTTATTAGAACACAACTTGAAAAATTGCTGTTTCTGAATATTACTAATTTTAACAGGCAAGTTACTGGGTACATGTGAATATGAATGGTCTTTTAATACCTGACACTGTTATGATAGTTGAGATATTTCTCTCTTAAAGCAGGCTGGGTACCCAGAGGAAGATGTGCCTCAATTGCACTGTCCTTCATTGTCTTTGTAGGCAGTTCATCCTGACTATTTGCAAGATACTGGGTTAGTGATGCACGCTCAGCTAATGCTTGCTGATGATCTCTGTAAAGAAATGGAGAACATTATAAAGATCACAATAAAAATAAAGAAATAAATGTGTAACATAAGAATGTAAACTCTGCAATCTACCTCCAGTTGGTAGAGGCACCGACTATTTCCCTCAGCCTGTTGCGAACTGTGAAAATAAACAGGAGCAAAATTAAGCTTTAAAAATGTGCTGAGAATGTATATTTATTAAAGTGTAGTGCTAAAATAGCGAAATCTTTATCATTACAGAACATATTATTGAGAAAAGTCAACAGAAACAATGTACTGAAGAGGAACCAAGATTAAGAAGTTTGAAAATGGAAAATTAGCAGATGACAAAGTGCAAGAAAACTCATGCACATGTAGCAAAGACAACAGCAAGACAACAGCAAGATTGTGTCATAGCAAATCGCAAATATTAAATGTTATTTCATTTTACCATTGCTCACAAGTAAAAATGTGTTTCCTGTGGGAACATAAAAACTGGTCAGAACTTGAAACTGATTGTTTAAATGATTATTTAACCCCTTAACCCATTTAAGCCCAGCGGCAACTATAGTGATTCATAGTTGCCATTTTCCTTTTATAAGTCATTTTCTACACATTATACATGTTTACTTTCTCAATGACATGCAAGCAAACAACAAAATAAAAGATTTCAAGAAAAAAAAGAGAATTGATTTACTTTGTCACATGAGGTCTTCAACTTCCTACCCCTAATTCTAAAATGCAAAATGGAGACAAACCCTCCTAAATAAAGGCTATTTTCATGTTACTAAAACTTTTTTGTTCACAAATGTATATCAACCTAATCATGAAGGTCTATACACTCATCCAAATAAAACTAATCTTTTAGTCTTTTTTTATAAACTTTGTTAAATTTAAAGATTTTTGCTTTCATAATACCCCATCTAAACATAACTTCACAATTTAACTGATATCTTTACTTTACCATTTTTGATACACAGTTTAATCCTCAGAGTAAAACAAAGAGTTCTACAAAGAGTTCAAAAAACACTGGAGCAGAGTTAAAGTGCTGATTGAAGAGAGAATAATGAACTCCTGCAGTTAAAAAGCAGAATCACTTAAGAAAAACACAAAACTACAACAGAATTCATCCACAACCTTAGTCCCTGCTGTTCACACAAACATGGGTTAAGTCTAAATTGCAGCTTTTTTTCTACACAAAAACACAGTATCAGGTCACTGGCACCCAAATTTTTGAATACTATTGTCAGGATGAAGATTTTAAAAAGCACCAGTGTCTGTGTTTTTTAGAAAACTGAAAAAAAAAAACATTTTTGTTTACAAAATACCTGTGTGCAACGGAAACTCAAATGTCTCAAAATCTCAGTTCATCAGGATCATTAAACAACTCCGCAAACAAAATCAGCAGCTTTACTTATTACTAAGCTGTTTGACTATTTCTGTCAATGTCTATAAAAGTCTGTAGTGAGATTTACTGAAAATGTTTTGGTTATTTGTTACCATTGTGGTATGTATTTACTTGTGTGTATTTACACCAGTTTTTATTTAACTTTTTGACTTTTTAATGTTATTTTTCTTTGACTGCTGTAACTCTGCAGTGTGGGACCAAAAACTCTCTACTCTTGGAATTTTGCTGTGAAAGGAATATATAAATATGTGTATTATTAATAATTATAATTAATTTTTTCAATATTTGTAATATTGTCTAACAATTTTTAATTTATCTTTTTGACACACAGTAGTCTGTTGGGAAAACTAGTGTTTGTTTCATTACTTTAAGACACATAGATTAGTTTTTTTGTGTTTTCATTTCATGAAATTATGTGATAGATAATTTTCAGGGGCTTCATATCAAATGATTTTCTAATTTTAAACATGATAAATGCATTTATTGGTATGAATTGATCTGTTAAAAGCAGTTGTTTTGAGATAAAATGCCAAATGTTCTCCTTTTATTCAAATTTTACATTTTACATTAGGGTTCTTACAACATATTTGCCCACATATTAAAATATGATTTTCTTTAAAAAATCTAAAATCCTAGGGAAAAATAAATTCAAAGCAGGATCATATAGGACACCATGGACAACATGCCTGGAACAATTTTTTAAAAATTTGGCACAAATGGGTTTTAATTGTTGGGTTCACACTTGATTTTGATAAATGCCATAAGCATGTTACATATAGCTTGTCAGAATATCTTCAGGTTTAAGCAAACGTCCCATCTGTGGGAATTAAAAAAAAACTGTATGTTTTTAGCTCAAAGACAAAAATGTGGTTTCAAGCATCAAAACATGTTTTTATTGATTGCTTTCAAACATCTCAATGTGTCTGGTCTAATTTATTTTAAATAGTAGCGGTTTATGTAAAGTCACAAATAATTTTACTTTTCACAATTTTAGTATTTCACACTACCTTTTACCCAGGCATCACTATTTTTCTGATTGTCTCTGTCAGTCTTATACTTAATAAATCATCAATCACGTGCGTAAAAATTTCAAATTGTAAGATAAAAACATTGTCATTTAGAGCATGTTTTAGCATAACATAACAAAATGATGCCATTTTACATTTACATACATTTTTGGAAAAGACCAAGTTAATACACCTGAAGAGTTAAGAATCAATAAAGGAGAAAAAACCCTAATTTCATTTGTTTATTTTCCTACGGCTTAGTGCCTTTATTCATCAGTGGTCGCATAATGAACCGCCAACTTATCCAGCATATGTTTTACACAACAGATGCCCTTCCAGTTCTAACTCAGTACTGGAAAACACCCATACACACACATTTACACACATACACTACGGCCAATTTAGTTTATCCAATTCACCTTCACCTACATGCCTTTGGGGTGCAAGAGTATGGATGTTTCCCAGTGTTTGGTTGCAGCTAGAAGGGCATCTGAATGAATGAATGAACATTTTACTCTAGCCCACAATAATTCTAAAGAAACTTTTTCAATAGCTGTGTATTAATGCATGTATATGTATTTATATATGCGTATGTGTAAAACTTGTTCAGGCAACGCAGTGGCGCAGTAGGTAGTGCTGTCGCCTCACAGCAAGCAAGCTTGCTGGTTCGAGCCTCGGCTGGGTCAGTTGGCGTTTCTGTGTGGAGTTTGCATGTTCTCCCTGCGTTCGCATGGGTTTCCTCCGGGTGCTCCGATTTCCCCCACAGTCCACAGATATGCGGTACAGGTGAATTGGGTAGGCTAAATTGTCTGTAGTGTATGAGTGTGAATGAGTGTGTGTGGATGTTTCCCAAAGATGGGTTGCGGCTGGAAGGGCATCCGCTGCGTAAAAACATGCTGCATAAGTTGGTGGTTCATTCCACTGTGGCGACCTCAGATCAATAAAGGGACTAAGCCGAAAAGAAAATGAATGAATGAATGACTTATTCATTTTTATATATATAAAAATACCATCTGCCATATCAGGTGCTTTCCCTTGTCTACACATTTGCCCCATAGAAAATCCTCTACACATCAGGGACGATGCAGACTTCAGGACCCTATAAAGAATAAAAAACGTGTAAATTCGTGTCTATGGGGACATTACAAAACTACTGATAGCCACGTAATAAAATTACAATAAAAAGATGAACAAAATGAGACAGAACTAGTCTGTAACTCTTCATTCATGACTCACAAATGATGTACACAACAAAAGCGGGACGCAAGACATAATTGTGAAACTCACCGCGGAGAAAGCATCTTCCTTGTTCTTGGCTCACCACTTTATTGTATAATAACACGGATTTTTGCTGATATAAACAACCGCACGCTTCTAGCAGAGATGTCAGCCTTCTGGGCAGTGATTCGCATTTCCTGAAACGTATAGTGGTGGGTGCGGCTTAACTACCGCATTAACCATAACAAAAGCGCATCTTTAAGGAATTTTCCTTCACTTAACGGTTCAACCTTTACCGTAAATACGACATAGTTTTGAATGTTTTCAGTGTGATAAGCGGGACATATAAAGTTTTGAGAAACGCTCTTCAAACAACGTTTGACATGAACTTTAATCTTTTCTGCATCATTATGAAGGAAATGTCGTTCAAACTAACGTATATTCACCAAGAGCAACAACATTCCTACAGTATTTTGATCTTACTTATACATATTCATCAACAAGGGCTGTGCGTCATGACGAACCTCAAATGGACACCTCCTATTGGTTCGCGAAAGGAAAAAAACGTTATTATGGTGATTAAACCCCTCCCCGCCGGCAAATATATGCTCGACATTGATAAACAAAGGACATTTACTGAAGCCAGGTGAAATCCGCCGGGTCAGTTGCTGCATGCGAGTCCCACACAGGAGAAGCCCAAACTTGACAGCGCAGGGTAAAACCCGGGACAGCGAATGAAGAAACACCTTTTGCTTCACTTCACATATAGAGGACTAGTGAGAAAAGGGAAAAAGAGTAAAAGAAGAAAATGGCCAATTTTAATTTGCGTAAAGCGGAGCCCAAAGACGTGCCTGACATATTGCGACTCATAAAGGTAGAATTGTACAATTTATATATATATATATTCGGACTACAGAATATTCTGTCGAAACTTCTTTAACAAGTGCATAAATATTCCCGTTTTGATGTCCTCTCCTAAGTACTAATTTAAAAAGTTATTGTCACACTTATTTTGATTTATTATGTTCAAATGGTTACAAAATATCCAAATATGCCCTTCTATGACAACAACCCCTATAGGCCAACCGCCTACAGGACTTGGTGTTCGTCCAACTGTTCTGAAAGCATCTTTTCTTTACTAACTTCTGCAGGAACTCGCGAAGTATGAAGAAATGGAAGACCAAGTTCTTATAACTGAGAAAGGTGAGGTCCGTCAACGTGTCTGATGTGAGATCTGATCAATATTTTGCCCACAGTTACAACAATAGTTTTGTGTTTAGATCTGCTCGAGGACGGTTTCGGAGAGCACCCGTTTTACCACTGTGTGGTCGCAGACGTGTCAGCCGAGCATCAGAAAGTCGAAGGTAAAACACTGACTTTAACCTGTTGAATATCCAAATAGTTCGTTTTTTGGGGGGTTCACTAGAAGAAGTTTGTTATATATAACTTATATTTTAGCTAAATGTTTTAAAATACGTATTTTACTAAAATACTTATTTTTACTTACAGTACTTTAAAAAATTTGTATGCATGTGAATGTCTTTTTTTTTTTTGCCAAAATAATTAATAAAAACTGTAATCCACTAGCTTAAAGTGGTAGTTAACCCAAAACAGAAAGGTCTGTCATTATTTACTCACCTTTCACTTGTAAAAAAAAAAATATTTACAAACAAATAAAAAAATAAATACATTTGAATAACCTGGCTTTAAGGGATAGTTCACCCAAAACATAAACTTGTCAATATTTACTAACCCTTGTTAAAAACTTGTTTCAGTTTCTTTCTGCTGAACACAAAAGGTGAAACAACCAGAAAAGCTGTAACCATTGACCTCCATAGTATTTGTTTGTTCTACAATATAAGTCAGACGGTTACCAGTTTCCAGCTTTCTTTAAAATGTCTTTTTAACTTAGCAGGAGAAAAAAAGTGTATGCAACTTGGTGTGTAAATTTAAATGTTTGGTTACACAATCCCTTTAATAGGACTACCAAATATAATACGTGTCAGATGCACATTAACCCATGTGTGCTGTTGGGGATGTTTTCATTCACTCTGGGGTGATTTTGAGTCTTAATTTAGCCACAATTTTCTCTGCGTTTCAGCAAATGGAATGATTTTTGGTGACATCTTATTTAGACACATATTTTGGGAAAATGCTTTAAAATATTTTCAAAAATTCAATAATACACTCTGGCCAAATGTACTACCCTTTTGTTATGTTCTTGGCTGTTTTTGCCGAATTGACTCTCATTATAAGTACATTTTGTAATCATGCTTTTTGATTGTTGGTGGTTTTCCCTGTTGGAAAGAGGTAAATGTACAAATTTTTACTGTTGATCATCAGTTGCAGAGCAAAAAAAACTTATTTTCTGGACAAAAGTTATATCGTTGTATGAAGTATAGTGTGTGTGTGTGTGTGTGTGTGTGTGTGAAAGAGACCTTTGCGCACTTACCTTTATGTTTGAGAAAATACAAAAATAAGCAGCTGAGTTCTCAGAACATATACTAGTACTTATATCAAGTGTATTTATGCACGCACACTATAATCTGCTGTTTTCCTCCATAGAAAAGTCAGAAACTTTTTTGCACAGGTCTATCTAAAGAGTTTATGCTTTTAACTGATGATCAACAGTAAAAATATAAAGATTTATCTCATCCAAACAGGGGAAAACACCAACGATCAAGAATGCACGATTATTTGGTGCCATGGCTTTGCAATAAAAAAATGTCGTTATAATGGAAGTCAGTGGAGCAAAAACAGCCACCAACATAACCAAAGGGTAGTCAATTTGAACAGTACACAAGTGTAATTACACTTAATATGTGTAGTTTTAGAACTTTTCTCTTATTTAAAAAAACGCACTTTACACCTGAAACATCCGTGTTGTTTTCTGCAAGTCCAAATTAATCAAATGACACAACTTTTTAAATAATAAAACTTCAGTCACATTGTTCTGCATTTTAAACATATTGGATAAATATTTGTCACACTTTATTTTGCAGTGTAACTATACATTTAAAGTCCCCAAGAAATCAAAACTAATCATAGGATTTTGTTAGCTCACATTGCCAGTTTTGTGGTGAACAATTTATCTGTGCATGTCATTAAGAAAAAAATGTTTGCCCTTCTGATCTTTAATGAAAATCTGAAAATGCACTTCCTGTTTGTTTACAGTTAAATTATCATATTACATTACTTAGAGGTAATGGGCGTGGCTAACATATTTAATCAGGCTGGTTCAACTGTCAGTTTTGACAACAAACAAATGGTGAGGAGGAGTCTGTTAAGTTGTAATAACTCTTCTAAAAACCCTTTACTACATCCATTTAGCCTGCGATAAAAACAAAACAAAACAAGCAATGCCCACTGTTTGCTCATTTAAAATTCGGTTTCTCTAGGAACTGTGTCACAATACTTAAAATAATGATCACAGCTTCCGGTATATTGGGACTAAGTACCAAGTAATATTAATTAACTAATCAATGTACTTTCTAGATGGTTAGCGTTAGGTATAGTGTTTTCATGCATATAATTATGTATAATTTATTGTTATTACTATAGCAAGTACATAGTGTAAAAGGTGTTAACCAAATATTTGTATCATGAATATTTGTGCATGATCAAGTAATACAACTGTGTTCACCTATAGGTTATTCTGTGATTGGATTTGCAATGTATTACTTCACCTATGACCCGTGGATTGGCAAGTTACTGTACCTTGAAGACTTTTACGTCATGAAAGAGTACAGAGGTGAGGGTTGTGTTCAAATACATCCCTTACAATACTGTAGCAATTTCCTGAAGTCTCTAATATCATGCTTCACAGGTTTTGGAATTGGATCTGAAATCCTGAAACACCTTAGTGATGTGAGTTCTCTTTCACTTATAGTTTTAAGACAATAATCTATACCAAACCTGTTAACCGCAAACATAGTATAGGGGTCAAAAAAAGAGACGTCAGCTTAGTTTCTGCAGCAAATAACATCTATACTTCTTTCATAAACAGTTGAGGTCAGAAATATTAGAGAATTCTGAGAGAAATGTGTTTAAAAAAACTCTTCTAAACATAATAGTTTTAATAAATCATTTTAAATAACTGATTTATTTTATCTTTGCCATGATGACAGTAGATCAGTAAATAATATTTTACTAGATATTTTTCAAGACACTTCTATACAGCTTAAAGTGACATTTAAAGGCTTAACTAGGTTAACTTGACGGGATAGGGTAATTAGGCAAGTTATTTCATGATGTTTTTTTCTGAAGACAATGGAAAAAGGGGCTAATAATTTTGACCCTAAAATGGTTTTCAAAAAATTAAAAAACTGCTTTTCTTTTAGCCGAAATAAAACAAATAAGACTTTCTCCAGAAGAAATAATATTATCAGACATGCTGTGAAAATTTCCTTGCTCTATTAAACATAATTTGGGAAATATTTAAAAATATTTAAGAATTCTGACTTCAACTGTAGATAGAGTATTATATACGTGCAATAGGTATTTTGTTGCATAAACAAAAATGTCTTTTGATTCTTATTAATAAGCTACTGTTACACCAAATGACATTTTAGTGCACATTAATCATAGTTTGCTATTAAAAGTGGACTATTATAGTGAATACTAGTTTGATGGATTTCTTATATATTTCTTATATGACCCAATTAATTTTGTATTGTCTTTAGATGTATTATTACCTCTCATTATCTTGAACAGCCGTTTTCTTTTGCAGACGGCAGTGAAGAATCGTTGCAGCAGCATGCATTTCATCGTGGCTGAATCCAACAAGACGTCCATCGACTTTTACAAGCGTCGCGGGGCTTCAGACCTCTCGCTGCAGGAGGGTTGGCGACTTTTCAGGATCGATAAAGAGAATCTTCTGAAAATGTCTGCTGAAGAGTGAGCTGGCCGACGGTCCAGTGTTCAGGGAGAACTAAAGACAGCTCACAATTTCTCAGTTTGTAGATCTTTAATTCAATATTTTAGATACTCTGTGTTATTGATTATATTAACAAACAGTAATGTACTCTAGAAGAAGTTACTGTAGTACTTGTGTCATATTCTGTAGTGTATATGTAAGATTAGCTTATCAATCAGCTTTTTTGTATCCAATTTAATGTATTAAAAATCTAAACAAATAAATATTAAGAATTATATTTAAGTAATACCTTCAGGCTTTCCTTCTAATACAAATGTGAAATTCACAGTGGTAAAATTGGGACTGCTGAATGCACAGAATGGATCCTGGACGATGCTGTAATTTGCAAAATGTCTCTTTGTTTATGCACAGACCAAATTCATGGTTTGTGAAATTGTAAGTTACTATAAAACTTATAAATTGGATCTTTGTTTAGTGACATTGAAAACCCTGGAGAAAGTGAAGCGAGCACCCATCTAGAAAGCTCTGGAAATGGATGTATAAGTAAATAAATATTCAGCAACATTCAGATTCGCACAGTACAAGTCATGCAGGTGATTCTGTCTTTCAGCTTGGTCCAAATGGTTGCTATTATAATGTGCATTTATATATAAAAGTACATTTATATAATTCACAAAACATCGCTGAATACAATTACAGTGAACACTGCCAACATTGTAATAGAGTAATAAATACCACCATACTGATCAGTACACCGATAAGAGAAGAGAATCCAGGTGCGAAGCAGGAACTCTTCATAAAATGAGCTGCTTTGTCTCAACTTGATTTTTGGCTGTCTGATTTCTGTGTCTTGTCAGCCTGTGAAGAAAACAGATAAAAGGTTATGAAGTGTTTATATCACAACTTCTATGATGCTATTATGAGACAACTATTAGGTTACTCATTCTCAAATCAACCAAGATGTATTTGTACAGTATGTGACTTTTTTTTTTCAGTAGAACGTTTTCAGCTAATACTGTTGTCCTTTAGGATTTATTAAATGCAAAACTATTTGTTTATTGACTCTCCAAGTGTTGACTCTTTTAGCTAAAATCTTCTTTGATTTACTACTGTAGGAAAAAGTTAACCTACATCTCAGATGGCCTGAGGAAACTTCATATTTTATTTCAGTTTTGGGTGAGCTATTCCTTTAATGTTAAATATATGTGCTGTCAAAATGATCTGACAGTTTTGGATTTTGGATAGTCTGTTTTATTTATTTCAAAAAGTCTTTTTCTTTAGAACTTTCTATTAATCAAAACAGTATTAATCAAGCAATCAGCGGTGACAAGAAAAGCTTCTCACCAAAGTGCATATTTTTGAACATTAAAGCATTTTGTGTTTTACTATATTGTTTATCTTCTAAGTACTCACTTTATTCATTCATTTTCTTTTTGGCTTATTCTGGGGTCACCACAGTGGAATGAACCATCAACTTATCTAACATATTTTATGCAGCTGATGCCCTTCCAGCTGCAACCCATCACTGGGAAACACCCTCATTTACACACATACACTAAAGACCAATTTAGCATACCCAATTCACCTATACAGCATGTCTTTGGACTTGAGAAAACCCACGTGATCACGAAGAGAACATGCAAACTCCACACAGAAACGCCAACTGACCCAGGCGAGGCTTGAACCAGCGACCTTCTTGTTGCAGGGCAACAGCACTACCCACTATGCCACCGCGTCACCCAGTACTCACTTTATAATAAAGCTAAAATGTCCTATTTGACCCTGAATGTAAAGGATTAAAGGGGTGGTCCACTACGATCTCATATTTTAAACTTTAGTTGATGTGTAATGTAGCTGTGTGAAAATAAACAGCATCTCTGAATGTAAAAAGTTCTAAATTCAATGCTAAGGGAGACCTTGGTTTTTACAGAGTTAGCTTAGCAAAGCCTACAATGAACGAATTTTGGGGACTACAAAAAAATACTTCCGCCCCCTGTGACATCACAAGTTCGTTTACTGCGCATCCCACACTGCGCATGCAGGTAAGGTCCGTGGCCAGAGGTGCTGTAACGTTATAGCAGAGATGAAGCTAAAAATGCATCTAAACACGGCTGTTTCCACAGAGCTTCATCTGTTTCTGTATTTGGGCTTCCAAAGGACACGACACAAAGACAGAAGTGCCTTTAGTTCAATATTAATTAACTTCCAGAGAATTATAAAATACTCAGCAAGCATGATTTGACAAAACAGCTCCTGAATCTCTCCAAGTTCAGTGCTGGATTCGGCTAAAATCTCCTCAAAGCAGAAGTTGTGATCTACAAGTAAGTGTTTTTATTTTTTTAAAATTGATCATGACATGTTCAGTGTCTAGCGTTAACTGTATGCTGTAGCAATGATGTAAACAATGCGAAATGCTGCTTTGCGGGCAAACGATTTAGCTACAAACTCACATTTATCAGCCAAACTCCTGTAAACACACACTCACTCCACCAGCACGATCTCTTATGTGTGTGCACGACTGCACTGATTGTCTTGGCTTTTTCATGTGTTTCACATCTCAGATAATGAAGTCGCAAAAGATATGTGGATGATTTATATTACTTACACCTGCATATTCCGGATACTCGTGAAAGACGTCATGACGCATAGAGTTAAAAAAACACAGATTAGCTTACCTGACTAGTGGTCGCAGCAGAATAATAAATCAAGGCTCAACAGGTAGCATCTCACATCTTGTGCTTTATTCTTCTGTCACGATATATTACAGAAAATAACTTAATCCGAGCATCAGAGAAAAAGAAAGTCCCGCGCTCTTGCGCTTGTTACAGAAAGTTCACACCACACAAACACACACATAGACGCACACACAGACGCTGTTAAAGGAGCCGCACCCCTTTTTCACTCGTTAGTTACAGACACTTGTCAGATGTTATTTTAGAGAGCGGGCGCGAGGTTGACTTCATGTTTACACAGCAGAAAAGCGTGTGCTTTTACGGGCGTGACGTGGAGCCGATCCGCCAATAGCAGCACATTATGTCGATGACCAATCAGAGTCACTTAAGGGCGGGCCTTTTAGAGGAACTAGGAAATATGACAGTCGTTTTCATGTTAGCTGAGTAGCTGTGTATAATCAAAGTGAGATATATGAAAAAATTACGCGATTTCCGTCAAGTGAAACATAAGCACACATTGCTTTGCATCTTATAAACACAACCAAGCCTTAAAATTACATTCTGGACCACCCCTTTAAAAGAGTTTTATATCTGTTGTCTAGGAGTTGAGATTTATAGTGAATGCAAGTAGTATTTTTGTTACGTAATTAACTTACTAAGGAATAAAATTACTTTTTAGACTAAATAATTTAAAAAGTAACTAAAATACAATTGCACATCTATGATGCCAGTCTCCCGTTCCACCAAATCCCAAAGATGCTCTTCTGGATTGAGCTCTGTTGACTGAAGGCCATTTGAGTACTGTGAACTCATTGTCATGTTCAAGAAACCAGTCTGAGATGATTATCGCTTTATGACAGGGTGTGTTATCCTGCTGGAAGTAGGATCAGAAAATGGGTGCACTGTGGTCATAAAGGGATGGACATGGTCAGTAACAATACTCAGGTAGGCTGTGCCATTGACACAATGCTCAACTGGTACTAATGGGTCCAAGTGTGGCAAAAAAATATCCCCTCCACATTACACCAGCCTGAACCAACAGATAGGATACAAGATAGGATGGATCCATGCTTTCATGTTGTTGACGCCAAATTTTGACCCTACCATCAGAATGTTGCAGCAGAAATCAAGACTCATCAGACCAGGCAACATTTTTCCAATCTTCTATTGTCCAACTTTGGTGAGCCTGTGCAAATTGTAGCCTCAGTTCCTGTTCTTAGCTGACAGGAGTGGCACCTGATGTGGTTTTCTAATGCTGTGGCCCATCTACCTCAAGGTTGGAAGTGTTGTGTGTTCAGAGATGCTCTTCTGCAGACCTCGGTTGTAACGAGTTGTTTGAGTTACTGTTGCCTTTCTATCAGCTCAAACCAGTCTGGCCATTCTCCTCTGGCATCAACAAAGCATTTGCGTCCACATAACTGCAGCTCACTGAATATTTTCTCTTTTTTGGACCATTCTCTGTAAACCCTAGAGATGGTTGTGGGTGAAAATCCCAGTAGATCAGCAGTTTCTGAAATCCTCAGACCAGCCCATCTGGCATAAACAATCATGCCATTAAAGTCTCGGTTTGAACTGCAGCAGATCATCTTGACCATGTCTACATTGGTTTACATTGTGTTAACGAGCAGTTGGGACAGATATATCTGATAAAGTATCTGTGTGTGTGTGTGTGTGTGTTTATGTATATACATATATTAAAAATGTACGATCATCCTTGGTGAACATACAACACTAAACACATACAAACGCACAAAAAAATTATAAAATAAAACTAATTTAGAAGAAACTCTTGAATACTGCTGTATATCTGAGAAGTTTTCTATGGGGTTTGTTATAATAAATTAGGCTTTAATTCCTTATTAGCCATATTACAGGAAAAATGATGTATTTCATTCTTTAATATCCCGTTTTTATATTTTATATCTATCTTCAAAAAAGACCAAACCTTTTTGATTTAAACCTTATTTTAAACCTACATTAGCATTGTATTCACTCTGCCTCAGAACATATAAAAAAAGAAATCTAGTACAAAACTGTGCCAAAATATCAGATTTCTCCTCACTTTGTCCTTGGAAGAAGATTTTCCTCTCAGCAGCTCCTCCAAAACAGCTCGCCCCTCTGAACCCCACGAGTACATGTAGTCCTTTGTGGTCTATTTAAAAAACAATCAATTCAAATGACAAATAATTAGTGGCATATATCAATCGTGTGCTTTTTTAATAAGTTTAAAACAATAAAGCACATTAATGTTCGTTTCCAGTGCTTTTGGAGCGAGGCAGGGAGTAGTCTATTATTCACTTTAATTGAGTGAGCTTATCCGTGGAAAAATTCTGAAAATATCTCTGCACTTTGTACTTTTCCATTAATGGATGGTCACACAGGAAGAAAAGAGGAAGGAACAGTGACTATCTGAACACACAATTCACAGGCTGAATTTCCTGCAGATTAGCGCAGTTCAAATCCCAGCAACACTCATTTATTTAACAGCAACTATAAATAACTATATCTCAATTAAATACAATTCGGAGATGCATATGTTACACAAAACAGAACTTGAAACATAATTACCTTCATAAATGACAATTAAAAAGCATCCAAAAAACTAGTCATTATTAAATTACCAACAGCCACTATAACTCAGCAACACAGTCTTAAACAGCAGAACGTCTGACTATTTGTATTTTAGTGTATATACAAATTTAAATATGCAAATTGGCTGTAGGATGACATATAGATATAAATCACTGAGCAGCTGCATACGGGACAAAAGAATGCTACAATGTTCATCAAGCCAATTGCAATTGTTATAGAAGATCAACTATTTACAAAAGTGTATAGTGCACTTCAACAGTAATAAGGATGAGGTTTGGAATAGTTTATTTATTTCAATCATTTTTTAAAGTGTTTTGCTGTTCTGTTAATAATAAACTTCTATATTTCCTTAGTCTTATATATTGTGTTTTAATAAATGGCTTTTTCCCCCAGGAAATAAAAAAGGTGTCACTCTATGATAATCCCCTTTTCCATATTTTCTTGGGAGCCCCAGACATGAGTAAAATAGTTGATGCTGCATCACTGAAAACATCAAGTACTGCTGTCTGTGCTGGACGTCCTGCTGAGAGACAACAACATACTTTGTCCATCTGAAGAGCAGAAGAAGAATAAACTTGCCCTGGCAGCAGAGGCGGCGTGTTGTGGGTAAAACACAGAGGCACAGAGAGCCATCAGCCCAGTGGGAAATATCAGCCTTTTGACCGTGCTGCCTGTCCAGATAAAACACCACAATAAGAAGCAAAACTCTTGTTAATAACACAGAAAAGGCATTAGATTAAAGACCTCTGGCGATTAGTAAGAATCATACCTTTTGCAAAAAAAAGGCCCAGGATTCCAGAAAACCCAATGACGCCTACACTGGGGTAAAACTCCGATGGAGGGTCTTTCAAAAATGTAAATATATCTGGAGGATATAAGAAAAGCAACAAGGCTTTATGTTAGCACATAAACAGCAGTATTTGGTCAAAAAAATAAAATAAGATTGTTGCATTAACATGAATACAATACTATTAAAATAAGACATTTACCGTATGAGAGAAAGTGTAAACATTAATAAGAATAAATATATTAAAATTTTACATTCATTAGAAAAATGGGTATAATTAGTTAAAATAAATAAATTGAATTAAAGAGATATAGACAAATAAATTGTTTTATTACAACTATAGAACACAAGGTAGTTTGTGGAGAGGAAATTTGTTTGTATATATATATATATATATATATATATACACACACACACACACCGGCCACTTTATTAGGTACACCTGCCCAACTACTCGTTTATCAGCAAATCACAGATTCACATGGCAGCAACTCAATGCACTTAGGTATGTAGACATGGTCAAGACGATCTGCAGCAGTTCAAACTGAGCATCAGAAATGAGATTTAAGTGACTTTGTACATCACATAGTTGTTGGTGCCAGATGGGCTGATCTGAATCAAAGTTGGACAATAGAAGATTGGAAAACTTTGCCTAGTCTGATGAGTCTCGATTTCTGCTGCAACATTCAGATAGTAGGGACAGAATTTGGCGTCAACAACATGAAAGCATGAATCCATCCTGCCTTGTATCATTTGTTCAGGCTATTGGTGGTGGTGTAATGGTCTGGGGGGTACTTTCTTGGCGCCCTTTGGGTCCATTAGTACCAATTGAGCATCTTGTCAATGACACAGCCTACCTGAGTGCTGAGCTGTTGATGACCATGTCCATTTCTTTGTGACCACAGTGTACCCATCTTCTGATGACTACTTCCAGCAGAATAACACGCAATGTCATTAAGCACGAATCCTCTCAGACTGTTTTCTTGAACATAATATAACATGCCGGCAGCTAGCTCTCTGCAACTCTCATATGGTCGCCCGCTGAAGCTAAGCAGGGTTGCGCCCGATCAGTACCTGGATGGGAGACCACATGGGAAAGCAAGGTTGCCGGAAGTGGTGTTAGTGAGACCAACAGGGGGAGCCCAACCTGTGGTCTGTGTGGGTCCTAATGCCACAGTATAGTGAAGGGAACTCTATACTGCTCAGTGAGTGCCGTTTTTCGGATGAGATGTTAAACCGAGGTCCTGACTCCCTATGGCCTATTTATATATAGCCTATTTCCATCATGGCCTACTAACCATCCCCAAATCATAATTGGCTTCATCATTTTGTCTCCTCTCCACCTATCAGCTGGTGTGTGCTGGTGGCCCTATGTGTAAAGCGCTTTGAGTGCCCAATGGCCTCCACAGTCACCAGAACTCAATTCAATAGAGCACCTTTCGGATGCAGTGGAACTAGAGATTCGCATCATGGATGTGCAGCCAACAAATCTGCAGCAACTGCGTGGTGCTATCATTTGTGAACCAAAATCTCAGAGGAATATTTCCAGTATCTTGTTGAATCTACGGTACGCAGGACTAAAACAGTTCTGACGTCAAAAGTAAATTCAACCTAGTTAGGTGTACATAATAAAGTGGCCTGTGACCGTATAAATATATAATGACTTATCCAATGATAATAAGTTTCAATTTTGGGAAAACAAGTAATAATACAATAAACAAAATTGTGTTCAAATAAATAAATTTTTAGATTGTTGATTAAAATAAACATCTTATGAAACACTGAAAGTAGATTTAAATGAATTATAAATGTTGCAATTAAAATAAATATATACTACAAATCTCGTATAACAAACAAGCAAATAATGCACAGTACATTCATACCCTGTACGATATTTTGAGTGGTATCCACACCAGGCTCAACTGTTTTATAGTAAGACTAGAATAAAAGAAAAAAAGAAAAAAAAGTTACAGGAGATATTACAGGTTAATTCAATAAGATATCGCAACCAAACAATTTAAGTTTTATAATTGGGAAGCATCAAAAGATAAACAACATAACTTGCCTGTATTTTATCCACAGCAAACTGTGTCCTTTCCTGGAGGTTAATGAATTATGAGAAATCATGAAAACTATGAACTTAACAATATGAAATTTCAATAATGAATGAATTATATATATATATATATATATATATATATATATATATATATATATATATATATATATATATATATATATATATATATATATATATATATATAAAAGTTATTATACTTATATTATATTATACTTTTTAAAGCATACCTGACACCATGAACAATAAGGTTCAACAGTCTTTCTCAGAGACGCCACACCCTGTTCAACAGGCCCGACATCAGGCTCCTCGTACCTCAGCCGCGGCTCAGGTGTGTCATACAGTGAGAGCTGAAAAATATAGGATTTTGTACAACACTGTCAAATTCAGGAAAATCAGCTTCTTGTTCTTCCCCAAAACAAAGCGTGCAGGAAGTACCTCATCAGTCATCAAGATGGCGCTGTTTTCTTTGGCATTGCTTGCAGCAAAAACAGTGGTAGACATCAGACCAAGGGCTCCGGGCACTGCCATGGGCAGAACCACCTAAATAAAGAAGGCCAGAGAAAATAAATATGAAACAAAGAAAAATAATAATCTCTTGTATCCATATTATTTAAATACTGGACCACACACACGCACAAAAACTTTTATTTTAACATATGATACTCTGCAAATTAGTTTGATAATTAGGCAAAACATATATAACTGAAGTACACCACTCTCTAAAGAAACCTTGTTAAAGTTAAACCAAACGTTTACTATTATTTATAAGAGCATGACAATATTGTAGAATCCTATAAAACCAGGGCTTGACAGTAACACCCGCCAAATGTGGCTAGATTTGAGAGACTCCCACAAGCCACTCTGGCAGGTGGAATATAATTCAAAAGTATAGAATCAGAAAGTGGATCTCAATACCCTTTACCTTTTTAAGTCTCTTTCCTCACATTTTGAGACCTCATAACCACTTAAGGTGTCAACTGCAAACACTGGAAAGATTTTAACTTGCGGTATATTTATTAAATATTACTGTAAGAAACTAATCCAAAACTTAAACATTATTCATAAATAAAAATCTATTAAAACAGCTAATTCAGCAGGTTGGTGCCTATAGAATGCAGAAATAATGGTGTTGCAGCATGACGTCTAATCTAGCAGGGTTTTATTGATTTCTTAAACTACACAGCATCCTGATATTTGCAGATTTAATTCAGGCAAATTAAATTTTGCAGTCTTTAGTATTAAAGACTTTAATACTTTTTAAGGGCCTTAAATTTCACTACATTTATTTATCAACTTTTAATACTTTTTAAGACCCCGCGGACACCCTGTAATTTTAAAAATTGTGGGTCCTAACTTTGAAGTGTGCATTTTTAAAGTGACACCTTTGTTATGTAATGTATTCAAACAGGAAATCTAAATGAGAGACTCATTCGCTGCTTTTTAATCAGACTATTTAAATTATACAGTGAGGAAAAGGTTAATGAGATTTAATAACTTAATTCAACTTCAATAACCGCTATTAATCTCAAAAGGCTAAACTGTTTACTTATTTTGCAGCTTTTTCTAAAGTACACTATTCTATGCTTTGTAGATAATAATAATAACAATAACACATTACTGACCGTTTCAACTGTTTATTTACAATGAAACAGCTTTAGATGAACATATTTAGTTATTTGGGGTGATTTCTTATTTTTTTCTTCCTTTTTTCTCAATTATGACAATAACAGGTATGAAACATGTCCTGTCCAGCCCAGTAAAACACCTTGCGAGGGTCGTGCGCACAAGAGATGTGTTGTGATGTGATGCGCTGCGCTAATGTTTGAAAAGCTTGCGTAGTCATGTAAGCAGCATCAGTAGCCGTTTCCCTTTTACCATTCTTTGAACACATGATGAGCACGCATGATCATACCTTCATTCTCGAGTCACACTCTGTGTGTTTTCAGCATATTTTACAGTCTATGGTTTTCACCTACTTTCTTTTGCATGCACCTAATTTTTGTTTTTATAGTGTCATTTTCGGCCTATACAATAGCATTGCTTTTATAGAAAATTAACTCTTCATCTATGTATAGCCTAGTTAACCGCTGATCTGGCACCTTTAACCTGGACTGCACATAATTTTATATATGACAACTGATTTAAAAAATATTTTGTTCAATAAAAAGTGCATGAATGTAGTTTTGTATGCTTTTTGTAGGCAAGTATGCTTGTTTTGATGCATTATTAAAAATACCCCTGCAGAAAAATCCAGCTTAAACCAGCCTAAGCTGGTTGGTTGGTTTTAGCTGGTTGACCAGCCTGGTTTAAGATGGACACAGCTGGTTTTGGCTGGGCTCCTAGCCTGGTTAGGCTGGTTTAAGCTGGTCAACTCCCAGCCTGACCAGCAGGCTGGAAATAGTTGGAAATCAGCCTGAGAAGGCCAAAATCCCTCTAAAACCAGGCTGGTCAACCAGCTAATGCTGGTTTAAGCTGTTTTTTCAGCAGGGACTTGGCTTAGAAATATTTTTTTTTTGGCAGGGCAAGTAAACTGAGACCTGAAATGTTACATAAAAACTAATTGCAATGCAAGACAACCATGCTCATAATGCTCACGCGCATTGAGCAAATTCATACACAGCTAACGTTAGCTCACAAGAAAGTGAAATGATTTTGTAACGTGGGATATAACAAAACATTTGAATCAAGCTATTTTAGCACGCCAAAGTCAAATTTATATAACATATATTTTCGTAAACACTTAATGTTATGTTATGTCAAGCCCTGTGTCGAACGTATTTTAAGCATAAAATGTAATAAAAAAATATATATTGTGAGACATAAGTTAGTTTCAGATCAATAAGCTACAGTTAGCATAGCTTCATCACTGATGTAACTAAGATGTATGAACTGAGATGTAGCGCATCTTTTCAATAAACGCTTAAATATATTATCAGCATGCTTATAATGCACAACTATAGAAATCATTTGCAAACAAATGCACCACAGTACGCCAATTGACTGAATTAATATAATAAAAATGTGTGTTTACCTTTGCTATTTTCCCAAGATTTGACATCTTTCAGCAGCGCATCTGTCTGCTACGGCGTGTCTGTGAGGACAAAAGCCTCAATGCGTGTAAATATCTAAAAGCTTGTTTCTTAAAAGTTTGTTTTACACTGTAAAAATGCAGGGTTCCACACAATTCATTCAATTAAGTTGTCCCACTGAAATCTCAAGAATTCTGTTGTTTCATTTTAAATAAGTATGAACGAGCAAAATAAATATTTTCGAGTTAATGTTATTATTCACTTTAATGATAAAGCGCTTATCAAAATAAAGTGGATATAAAAAAAGATATAAATATGTAATTACAAACATCATAAATAAAAATAAAAACATGTCCTTGGCAACTTTATCTAAAATTACTAACAATAAAAAATGTAAATAGGGCGACGCGTTGGCGCAGTGGGTAGTGCTGTCACCTTACAGCAAGAAGGTTGCTGGTTCGAGCCTCGCTGGGTCAGTTGGCGTTTCTGTGTGGAGTTTGCATTGTACCCTGCATTCGTGTGGGTTTCCTATGGGTGCTCCAGTTTCCTGGTTTGCCCCACAGGGTGCTCCGGTTTACCCCACAGTCCAAAGACATGCGGTACAAGTGAATTGGGGAAGCTAAATTGGTCGTAGTGTATGAGTGTGTATGGATGTTTCCCAGAAATGGGTTGCAGCTGGAAGGCCATCCGCTGTGTAAAACATATGCTGGATAAGTTGGCGGTTCATTTAGCTGTGGTGACCCCAGATTAATAAAGGGACTAAGCTGAAAAGAAAATGAATGAATGAAAAATTTAAATAAATAAAATGTTGCATTTAAACAAACTAAAAATACCAAAAGCACATGAAAAGATTACTGTAACTTCATCTAAAATTAAAAAGCTGAATCAGAATATTGATGTAGATTATAATAAAACAACAATTTAAAAGAGAAATTCAGTTTAGTTCAGGGCTTTAATAGAATACTTTTAGCAGAAGAAATCATGTGCATTTTTACCTTGACAAAAATGCAATTTTAGTCTATTTATTTTAAACAGCCCCATGTTAACACCAAAATACATCAGTTTTACTAAAAAAAGAAGGAACTTAATGAAATAATCCTAAACAGATTCATTTATTACAGTTAGCCAATATTCATTATATAGACTGTAATATATTCTTGGCGTTACAGTGGCGCAGTGGGTACTAGCACAATCACTTCACAGAGAGAAGGTCGCTGGTTCGAGCCTCGGCTGGGTCAGTTGGCATTTCTGTGTGGAGTTTGCATATGTTCTCCCTGTGTTCATGTGGGTTTCCTCTGGGTGCTCTGGTTTCCCCCACAAGTCCAAACACATGCACTAAAGGTTGGGTAAGCTAAATTTTACCCAACCTTTTTAATACTATTTTTAATACATTTGCTGGATAAGTTGGCAGTTCATTCTGCTGTGGCGATCCCAAATTAATGAGGGGACTAAGCTGACAAGAAAAAAAAATAAATGAATCAATGTAATATGGGCTATACTAGTGACTAATAACTAGAAGTTTTTCTCTGATTAAGGTCTTTTGCATTTAACAGAAAAAATGGATTTGGAGTTGCTTGAAGTGAGAAGCCTGTAAATGTTAAATCTCTTTAAAATGCAAGAGAGACCCACCATAAAAAACAAACACCTAATTGTTTGGTGGTACAATCTCAATATCTTTAGGAATGAGTGGAGCTTGAAGAACAATTCCAAACTTCTCCCTCAACAACTCTGTGATTTCTTCATCTGAAAGATCTGTTATGGTTCTTGATGCATGTTCTCCATCATCTGAGCCCAAACTGCTTATAATCAGTCTGCGGCCCATGATGGTGATTCTCCCGGTGGGCAACAACAGTGAACAGAGAGACTTGCAGAAAAAAAGTGAGCTAACAGAACTCTGATGGTAGTCACACATGGCTCTGAAATCAGCTCTGTCTCGAGGCTCCAGAGTGAACTTATACTGTTCTGTCCAACATTCCCCACCAATCTCTGACTTACTTTCCATGAAAATCAAGTTTCCTTCAGATCTGAGGCGATAAACGCCGTGGCTCTGAATCTGAGGACTGTCAGTCTCAAGAGAAAGAGGAAGCTGGAATCCAGACCCAAACCCAACATCACAGAGCCACCTGTGTTCATCCACCATCACCATCATGAGGAAGTGGTCAAATGGAGGTCCGTAAACTCCGGTAAACCGATTTCTGACCTGTGCCGAGAGCAAAGTGACATCATAACCCATCTGAGACAGCAGCCAGGAGAAGAGTCCGTTAATCTCAAAGCAGAATCCTCCACGATAATTCACCACGATTTTTTCATACAGAAGTGGCAGCTCCAGCCTGACCCGACCCAGGGTGTGAATGGTGAGGTTTTCAAAGGGAACCGTCAGTAAGTGGTTCAGGTGTAGATATCGCAGAGTCTCCAGTGTCGGGGGACATGGACCAGAACGGTCCGTGTACATTTTGTTAATTTGTTTTCCATTTTCAAACGGAATAAAGGAAATGGAGAAAACGGCCGTTTTTCCGTTTTTCTTTTGCTCACGAGAAAACGAAAAAACGAGATTTTGGCTGGATTTTCGTTTTTTGGTTTAGGGTAGGAAAACGGATAAACGACTTTAAAATTCATTTTACACATGTAGGCGGTGCTGAAACGCCCACTTTCCTCTAATTGGTCAACCAAATTTGCGCTCGTGACGTCACCCTCAAAATAAAAGCCTTAAGCCTGATTTATACTTCTGCGTCAGGTGACCGGCGTAACCCACGGCGCAGGCAACGCGCGTGGCTGTGCATTTATACTTCTGCGCGCTGTCTCTGTCGGTCTGCATTTACACTTCCGAAACGCTAGTTGGCAGTGAGGTGTAAATGTTCCTCTGTGTCGAGTTTCTTCTCTGCTTTTTTGCATTTCCTGAACACTTCCGGGATGTACAAGTGGCTCAAACTCGCTCATTTTGAGGCAGGAACCGGCGGACGTGCAACAACTTTAACTATGAGGTAAACACAAAACAAAACTTTCCATCCGGAGCTCCTTCACGGGACTCCATACTTGTAAACAATCGCTCGCGCGGCGTCGCGCCATTCGCGCGGCTCTCGGTCCCGCCCAAACTCGTCAGCACTACCAAGCCGACCAATCACAGAGCTTATGCTACGCGTCGTTGCGACGTGTAGTTACAATTTTTGAGAGGTGCACGTCAGCGACGGCGATGGCCACGGCGAAGGGCTATGCGTCAGCGCCGTAGCATACGCCGGTGTTTGACGCAGAAGTATAAATCAGGCTTTACACGCAGGCTTTTAATTATTATTATTTAATTATATATATTAACTAAGTTTACATATTCTATCATTTGAACCACACACATTTAGCAGGCTTACATTCATTGCGTATGTATAAATTAAATAAAAACGTAAAGCAGTATTCTTAGACATTTGTCATTAAAATAAGGTCATAGTTTACTGCCAAGCTTCTTGCTGCTGTGCACCTGATGCAGAGCAAAGATAGCCATTTCCGAGCAGCACCTGGTTTGCATGATTGTTTCAGAGCAAGGGCTTTATAATAATAATAATAATAATAATAATAATAATAATAATAATTATAATAATAATAATAATAATAATAATAATAATAATTATTATTATTATTATTATTATTATTATTATTATTATCAGTTACTAGTGTTTTTATTGTTTGGTGTGTTTTTTTTTTCTTTTTAATAGTTGTTACCAGAACCAGAATAAGAACACTTTGGGCCCTGCTATAAAAACAAAGGGTACCATTTGTTTTCATTTATTTCTTCCTATTTTAATTATATATTGTAATTATTTATTTGATAATTAATACTATTTTATTGCAACGCCAAAGTAGGCCTGTCTTATTATTTTTTTTTATTAAATTTGCTGTTATTGTAGGCTAGATGGCAGGCTTTAAATATTTTAAATAACATTTACTCATAACCTTACTAATTCGAGAGCCGAACCTAAAAAAGTTTACGTGCAATAAGCCTGTACAATAAAGGGAGCCGCAATGCATATTTCTAGCGCATTCTTTCACTCAACAATTATTGCTGGAATAATGACATAAATTTCAAATTAACTAATTAAACACATTATAGTTGATAAAAAAAAATTGTGTCTAGTTCCGACAAACAGATGAGCTCGCTACATGTGCGTTGCGCTAATAATTTGACATTTGCTCTTCTTGAGAAAGTGCTGCAGCGGGCCCTGCTATTTCACATATAAGGTTAGTGATACGTATTTTAAATTAGTATTGCACATTATTCATTCATTTTCTTGTCGGCTTAGTCCCTTTATTAATCCGGGGTCGCCACAGTGGAATGAACCGCCAACTTATTTAGCAAGTTTTTATGCAGCGGATGCCCTTCCAGCCACAACCCATCTCTGGGAAACATCCACACATACACACACACTTATACAGTACGGACAATTTAGCCTACCCAATTCACCTGTACCGCATGTCTTTTTACTGTGGGGAAAACCGGAGCACCCGGAGGAAACCCACGCTAACGCACCACACTACTGAATTAGACACACAATCTCAAAAAAAAACTTGATGCTTATTTACATTATCTAAAGTCATTTCTTACGAGGTAGGATCTGTTGTTGTATTATATATTTTCGTTTTAATATGCAAATAATTTTCTTTAATTTGTAATAGGTCCCTCATTGCATAAAATAACCAGCCTTTGTATTCAATATGTTTGTAAATTGTCCATCCAGTTTGACGCAAGCTAAACAACATTTTGGCCTGTTTTGCTTATTAAATGAGTGATTTTCACGGAGAAACAAATCATCCATCCACACAGTTTTGTATAGGACCTGTGTGATCAAAAATATACACTTCATCATAGCCTATAGGAAAATGTATCTGTTTAGAACCAATTTTGTGTTGTATAATTAAAAATATTAAAAATACAATAATAAAAAAAAGGAATAACATTTGAAGTGCAATGCTTCAAAGATCCAATACGCTGCATGCAGAGCCAAAACAAAAACTGGTTTGTTTGTTTAATAAAATAATAATATGAAATTAAAGTGAAATAGTTCCATAACCTGTATTATAACTGTAGTCACCCTACATGACAAATCATCCGTTGCGCCGGTCAGTTTCACCTTTAATCAAGAATGTGCCAGAACCAAATGAGAATATTTACAGATTACCTCAGAATGAGACCTCGGTCTGTGAAGGATGCAGAACACAGAAACTCGTTGAGAATGGAGATGCATGTTAGATGTTTTATATCCCTTTAGATATTGTAAATAAACAACTAGTTTTTATAGAGATTGTGTCATGTCTTTTCTTTGACGCACGCGCTGAATAATAGTTTAGATTTTATAACATATAATGTTCCATTACTTTAAATGTATAATGTTTTTTAATATTTATGGATTATATAAAATATATAGTTTATATAAATGCGCTCTGATCATTCAAGGATCATAATGCGTTGCATATTCTTCTTATTCTTCATTAGGCTTGATCCGTAAATTGTGTATTTTATAAACTGATCGTTTATAAGGACTAAGCTATTAATAACTGTAATTCCTCGAATGGAAAAGTCTTGATTAAAGAAAAAGAGAACTTAATTCGACATATGCATATAGTGCGCTTATTTCTGCGCGCATCGCGCGCTTTACCGAATTACCTTTTTTATTTTTTATGCACTATAAATGCATCTGGCAGCACCGAAAAGTGCAAATGCCAAGTTATTAGCGCAGCGCACAGACAGCTAGCTCGTCTAGTCTGAACCAGGGGTTTTCAAACTATTCATTGCACACCGATCCCATTGCATTTTATTTAGGATAAACCACTTATTTAAAATTAATTAATTAAAAGGTGCGTACTCTCCAATACACCACTGTAGTGTCATAATATTTAATAATTATAATTAAGATAGACACCTGACCTCCATTTAATAAACAATTTATTTGCCATACTCTGTTAATTTGAAGTTTAAAGTTTAAATCATTTATGTTAAACTTAAATTATTTAAAAACTTAAAAAGACTTAAATTTAGTCATTTAAGACATTTTAGGTCATAAGTTTACATACATTGACCGTTGCATTTAGTATAGGCCTATTCTGGTCTAAATAAGCTTTTTGCATCTTAGGTGTTTACACACACAAATTAAGCAGTTTATACGTACATTTAATGTTACTTTGAAATTACTTTTGATGCAATAAATAATCCTAAATAGTTGAAAGTGTTAACATATTCTTGAAATGTAGTTATTTTATAACTATGAAAATTATTACTAAACAAAGTGAATCATTATGAATTTGCCAAGAAATAATCCACTTTACCACCGTAAAGCAATGCCCCACACTCATAAGAACGGTAGAACCTGGACTGTATGATATGTTCTGTATGTAAAATAGAGAAAATAAGCAAGATGCGCAGTCTCATGCAGCCTTAGTGAAATATAGCCAGTCACAGCAATGAACTAAAAATAAAACCACCCTTGAAATGCTGGCGATCTTAATTTTTTCAGCCTACACTGACTGAGAATAATGTTGCACTATTTAATTAACAAATAATTAGAATGTTTTTTTTCCTTCAACACATTCATCATTACTTTTGCCTGTGCAAGTTTTTTTGTGCGCGCTTGAGCGCGAAGGCATCTATTTTCAGGTGCAAGATGCCACTTTGGGTGGCACCAGCACACTCTGCCACACCTGTGGCTATGTCCCTGCTACAATAATAATAACAACAACAACGACAAAATAATAACAAAAAATAATAATAATAAGACAGGCCTACTTTGACGTTGCAATAAAAAAGTATTAATTATCAAGTAAATATTTACAATAGGCTAAAGGCATATATTAAATTAAAATAGGAGAAAATCCAATAGAAACAAATGGTACCATTTATTATAGCCCCATGCAGGGTCCAATGTGTTCTTACAACCATTGAATAACTAAGTAAATAATAATAATAACAATACTAATAATAATAGGCCTAATAATAATAATAATAATAATAATAATAATAAATTATTATTTTTTACAGAGTAGGCTATTATTTAGGCCTACAATAGCTCTGAAACAATCATGTAAACCAGGTGCAGCTCGGAAATGGCTATCTTTGCTCAGCATCAGGTGCACAGCAGCAAGAAGCTTGGCAGTGAACTATGACCTTATTTTAATGACAAATGTCTAAGAATACTGCTGATTTACGTTTTTATTTAATTTATACATACGCAATGAATGTAAGCCTGCTAACTGTGTGTGGTTCAAATGATAGAATATGTAAACTTTGTTTATATATATAATTAAATAATAATAATTAAAAGCCTGCGTGTAAGGCTTTTATTTTGAGGGTGACGTCACGAGCGCAGATTTGGTTGACCAATTAGAGGAAAGTGGGCGTTTCAGCACCGCCTACATGTGTAAAATGAATTTTAAAGTCGTTTATCCGTTTTCCTACCCTAAACCAAAAAACGAAAA